GCCATTTTGGCTTTGAAGGTTTTTTCCTAGGCGAGCCATGGGCAAAAACAAGTGGACTCGACCTAGGGTCGCCAAGCAGAGCGGCCCCTCTCAGACCTTGAAACGTGGTTCCAAAGTACACGCAGCTTACACTCAACCTCGCAGAGGCCGTGAGAAGCTAATTGTGACTGGCTCTGGGCTGAAGGCCATGAGGCCTTCGGTTCTCCTGAAGCACCTGCAGCAGTTGGGGCACTTGCCGCTTCTGAAAGAAGGCGGGGCCTGCTTGTACTGCGGGCACCCGTCACTTTCCAGCAAAGGCTGTCCCCCTTTGCCGGCTTTGCTGAAGGGCTCAGGGGCCAAGTACTTTCGGTGCACCAAGTGGGGGTGTAACAAGCAGCAGCACGTGCTGACGCGCTCCGCTGTGTTGTGCATCGGCCGTGGGGCCGATGTCCTTCCACTCCGAACTCAGGTAGCGTTCTTGTTGGGCGACACCGTGGCTTGGCAGGGCTGGCTTGGTTCCAAGGCTCGAGGTCAGCGGGAGTCTTTGGTGCTGGACAAGCGACCGCTTGCCAACAGCGTGTCCTACGCGAAGGCCGGTGGACTTGCAGCTCCGCCTCCTTTGTCAGTATCTGCATGGCAAGACTTCGCAGGGAAGCATCTCGCCTCTCAGACGATCGTGCATACGGACGGCGCCCAGGCTTACTGCGCGGGAGTGGAGGGCCTCGAGTTGAGGCGCGCACCCTAAACCCTAAGCCCTAAACCTTTAATCTTGAAACTCTTTGCTGGGAGCCCTTCCCCTCAAGCCTCCGCCAGGCATGACTCTGTGAGCCACAGCGCCAAGAAGGGAGGGCCGTACTTTGTCAAGAACTGTACGCACAAGGGGGTCTCTTGGATTTTTCATCATTTTCCGCAGTTTTCAAAAGGTCCCTACTAGCTAATGCTCTCTACGCAGCATGTAAGACTCAGGTAAAGAAGGCTGGTAAGCGCAAATCGAGTGTCAAGACTGTTGCCGGGACTCAGTGCATAGACGGGACCTGGACACACGTGAAGCGTGCTTGCCTAGGCGTCAACGCTAAGTGTCCTGACAAGATCGAAGATCATGTCAGGGAGAGCCAGTGGCACAGCTGGCTAGGATCGAAGTGCCCCTGGCATTCAATGGGGTGCGTGCTGAGCTGGGCCCGATCCCGAGAGCTTAAGCAGGTCTGAGCAAAACATGCTTCACACTTAAGGACAGTTCTGCGTGAGGTTTCAAGTACGTTGGGTCGCCCTAAGCCTTAAACCCTAATTATTGTAATTTTAATGTAGTTGCAACCCCACATGGAACTATCCTGATGCAGCTTCCTTTCTTGCTTGCGCGCTTGTGAGCAGCTGTGACTTCTTGCGGTTGCGAGCTCTGCCACATGTTTTGCTTGTGTCTCTCCAGTTTTGGCTTCCAGTGATGGATCCTGAAAAGTACGCTTCCTTTGAAGGAGTCATTGATTTGGTGACTCCCCCCAGAGCCAAGAGAGCTCGCCTCTCCTCCGAAGCCGATGCAAGTCCCGTGAGTGCTTCCTCTACGAGTGCCGCTGCGACAGAGCATGGGCCAGCCCTTGGTGCCTTGCTGGCGCGAAAACACAAAGCTCAGGCTACGCGCATGCTCTAGTCCTTCCTTTTTGATGTGCAGGTTGAGGCTTGTAGGTTTTTTTTTCCCATATATTTTCGCTCACATTGGCCAGGACCTGCCAATCCTTCTTAGTCTTCAGCCCTTGCGACGCAGACAGTTCCCTTTCTTGGTCTTGCCAGTTCTTTGGG